GAGTTGCTTAGGATAACTTAATTCAATTTCATCACCAATACCCACGCAAAGCATTTAATTACATTTCTGAGTTAAGCACACGCGTGTTTTTTTAGGTGGCAGGTGAAAACTATTTTGGGGGTAGATAAAATTTATTTTGAAAATTAAATGTCCAAAAATCGAGAGTGCGAGATTGTCGCAAGCCGGACCGCGTGGTTAGAGGCTGTGTGAATGCTGGAGCTGGTAAACGGGTTCGAGGGGGCTCAAGCCTTGGTAGCTTGTTAGCCACTTTGCCACCTATGGTTGTTATGACAAATACTGTACGACATATGCTGTAAAATATTTAATGCTAAATTTTTTTTAATCAAAGATTTTTAAAGCTATGTTTAGTATGTAACTGTATAACACAACTATAACAACAAGTATGCTACGTTAAAAAGTCCAAAAATAAAATGTATGCAAATACCGCGACGTGTGAAGTCTTGTTTTTATATATAGAAACCACTAAGTTTTTATATTGTTATAGAGCCACGTTATTAAATGTTGAGGCAATCTCATTAAAATATAAATACAAACATTTATTGCATTGCCAGTGTTGTACAACGGCAAAGATGTTGGGCACTTGACTCTCGGAGCAAAATGTATTGTTTATGAGACGTAGCCATAGAATGTTATATTTTACTATATATGCATATCGGGGCAGTGTGTGCATTGTTGTCCAACACCAGTTGTAAAGCTTGCCATTTAATTAAATCAATTATGAACATTCCTGCTCTGACGAATAAAAGAGTCTAGCTCTGATTGCCGATCAACAAACGCGAGGCTTGCCCCGTGGCTGGATGAAGAGGCTGATTGAAGTGACTTCAAGAGTAGTTCCATGACTGACGCCATCGTCTGAAGCCGTTCTCTGACACGAGGTAGTTGGGCACTGCCCGCGACCACAACGTTACAAATAGATGTCACAGTATTTCATTGTGCGGTGCCGCGACGTGACACACCGATATAGCATTGTATCAACGCCCAGTAAAAAACACATCTGGACATATATGCACCACCTTGTTAGCAGATTGCGTCGCGCTGCGAGATGCAGACTGCACGAATGACGTTACTATCTAGGCGTTCATTATTATTATTATCATAGGCGGAGTTTTACTTCTATATTTGGGGGCGGGTAGCAGGAGTTTGCTTTGTCCCTTACATTTGGAATCGAGGGAGAATATAATTTATTCTCTTAATTGTAAACTACTGAAATTAAATTAAGGTGTCCAGTTTGGGGGAGTGCGTTGCTCCCACATGCCCCCCCCCCCACCACAACTCCACCCACGATTATTATTATCATATAATTATTAGAATACGTAATTTTACAGCACAATTTCAGGATATAACGGCGACAAAGAAGACAATTGTACGAGACGAAGCCAAACAAAGCATTGTCATACCGTGGGGGTCGCGCCGCCCGAGGGGATGGGGTTGGTGGCGGGGGGTGGTGATGGTGGGGGGTGGTGATGGTGGTGGGGGGGGGGTTGGTGGTGGGGGGGGGGTTGGCGGGGGGGACTTCGTGGTGGTGGGGCGGGGGTGATGGTGGGGGATGGTGATGGTGGGGGGGGGGTTGGTGGTGGGGGTGGTGGTGGGGGGTGGTGGGGGGTGGTGATGGTGGTGGAGGGGTTGGTGGTGGTGGGGCGGGGGTGATGGGGGGGGGGTGATGGTGGTGGGGTGGTGATGGTGGTGGTGGGGGTTGGTGGTGGTGGGGCGGGGGTGATGGTGGTGGGGGGTGGTGTGATGGTGGTGATGATGGTGGTGATGGGGGGTGGTGATGGTGGTGGGGGGGGGGGGTTGGGTGAGTAGCACAGGGGGCGGGTAGGCGTCGGGCCGTGATGAATGCCCCCCCACGTACCTGCCCCACTGAGCAGGAGCCGCCGTGACCAAAGGTGGGGAACAAGAGGCCGTGATGGATTTGCGAAACCACGCGGCGTCTTGGCGTGCTCGCTGGAATGTGCGCCCCCCCCTCTTTTCAGTTTACGTTCAGTTCGACCCCAATTCTAACGGATTCTGCAAATGATGAGAATAAGTTCGATCGTATGGAGGCTGGACACACACCAGTAATGTACACGCTGCATCATCACGTGAGTTTGTGTGTGTGCAGAATAGACACAGTAAACTTCATACACACGTGAAATGGCACACTATGGCTATAGTATTATTCTATTATAAGACCCCCCACCTATTATAAAGCAAGAGTTTCAAGTGCGTGTTCTTATAATCCGGTAGGTGTAGTGCGTTACCGAGCGCTTAACTCAATTGACACCCCATCCGCACTTTCGGGGTTCCGTCTTCCTCCAAAGCAGCTTCTTGTGGTCCGGATAATACGGGATAAAGTTTAATTTGATTGACGCACGCTCGTTGGTGATGCAGCCTAGTTTTAAAGCCACGTGTACTGAATGCAATAGACCAGGGGTCGGGAACCTTTTTGACTGGGAGAGCCATAAAAAGCCAAATATTTCTAAATATATTTCATTGAGAGCCATATAGTATTTTTAACGTATAATAAATTGAATATGTCTTACTTTTAATGCGACTTCTGGTGCTGCATGGTTTTGCTGATGGCCTTGTAGTCTGGTTCATACGTGGTGAGGTTGAGCTTCATGCAGGCGTGACCCGTGAAATGTATCTTCAAAACTAATTTCTGTTTACTTTAAAATGACACAGTATTATTAAGTAATATCACAAGTATTTTTAAATTAGTTCCAAACTGTTTTTTTATTTTTTATTTTTTTAAATTATTGTTTCAACTCAAAATTGTCTGGGAGCCATATGCCGTCACTGGAAGAGCCATATATGGCTCGCGAGCCATAGATTCCCGACCGCTGCAATAGACCCAAATAACTGATATTAGAATGGGTCTGGTCCAGCTTCTTCCAGTCACAAACCCGAAACTGACCAGCGTGGTGAAGTAGATGGTCACGACGTGGGGAGGAGGGCTTTCGTCCAACAGTGGTGTTTGATGTGGATTGCAAGTTCTATATTCGTAAACGTTACATATATAATATGATGAACAGCTCTCAGCCATTGTGCATTATGCAAAATCATGAGCGCTTACTAAATACCCGGATCGTGGTCCTCTGTTCTTACGTGACACGTCAAAAAAGTTTTGAGCAAATGTGCCCGACCTGACTTCAGCAAGTGAGAGACAACTGCGGACTCGTTTTTGTCTTCGTTAGGACTCATCAGCACAGTTTAGTCACCAATGTTCAACGCTGCAAAGTCTGCCTCTGGGAACCATATGAAGGGTCCCGACTTCTCTACACGATGGGGCCCGTAAACGTGGCCCAAGTAAACAATCACATCTGTAAATGACGAGAAACCCAATCACAACGGAAACATTGCACGGCTCGGAAAACCATGCGTTGCTTCTTTGTGCGCGTGTGTTGTTTCGAAATTCACTCAAGACTGGCAATTCCACGTTTCCTATCATCATAGTTAAACAATATTCGCCAGTTATCCACAATAAAGTCATGCATTTGCTTGGGACAACAATCTCATCATACCGGTCACGGTTATATTACCAATCTGACCAAAGGGGCACCGAATACGCGTGGTTTTCTTCTCCGTTGGAAAGTTTTCTGGAGCTCTGAGTAATTATTACTGACACAAAGCGCAAATTCTGCCCAAGTTAGAAAACTGTTGCTGTTATTTTGGGTCGGGTACCAATTTCTTACCACACCGTATTGGACAGGATTCAATGTTAAGCAGTTGTGTTGATCGAGCATCCATCACTCACTAATGCACTGAAGTCACTCGCTCACCGCCGACCTGTTAACTCCCTGTCACTCTTGCCGTGGTTACTTTCTCCACGAACTGAACTCATTGATTCATCCACCCATGTTGAGGACTTGGTCTACCAGACTGAATGTTTCGTCTCATACTTACTCTGTCCCAACCACCACGAACCGCACTGCAGGGCACGATGCTTCCCTTGCTGGGTCTTCCCTCGCACCGTTGAGACGTTTGAATTCCATCCCCGTCGTATTTTGTCCCAAGTTCTTATAATAAAATTGTTCAATTTCGCACCTCTGATTAACACGGTTGGCTACGTGCGGTGCTAAAGAAGTTCGTACGTGTTTATTCTTACCTCTAACACCGTTGATACTAATGTGACTGGTGTGTTAGCCAAACATCCCATTTCCGAAAGAGGGCCTCTGCATTACTCAATTGCTAATTAAAGATAGCAACATTGCCCCCTACTGCGATATATTGGCAGGACCCTCCTGAAAGGGAGTTGAGACTCAGGCGTTCATGTGTGAATACAGTACGCATATTCAGAATGATGGTAGTGCTACTTATTGCTGGTCGTTTGATGTTTTAGGCCAGTGCTCAGCAACTGTGTTACAACATTTTAAATCAATGGAACATGTATACAGACAACAGCCGTTCTCCACGAAATAGCGGTGATGTCACCACGGCGCTTGTGCCAGGCTAGGTTCACCTTGAGTCTACGTGAACAATCGAAGGCTCGTTGCTGGCCAGGGGGTCCACGGGACAGACCCAGGTGCCACGGGGTTGACTCGCTGAGATGTCTGTCACAAACGCCCAGACACACGCACGGACCCCATGCATCCGAGCGCGAGTTCAAACCCGTGACCAAGCGCTTCGTTTCTGCTGCTGCTGCTGCCCTTTGAAATCGCGTAATGTCCGGGCGCTAATGTGTCTGTCCTGGCTTTGGATATCCGTGCCGGCGGCAGTGGAGGCATTTGTGTGATGGAGGAAGGGGGGGAGGAGGAGGAGGAGATGGGTGTGCATGGGGGGCAGGGTGACTAGAGGGAGTACAGGGAGGATGGAGGTCGCGTTGGGAGTGGGGGTGGTGGGAGAGAGGAGGAGGAGGAGGGAGAGGAGGAGTGCGCTTTCTGGGTGAAAGCGTGGCGCGGACGGGAGGAGGACGGGATCTCACAGTGGGTGGACGGGGTGGGCTGGCTGGTAGGGAGGAGGGGGTGGTGGTGATGGTAGTGGTGGTAGTTGTGGGCAGGGGGTTGTTCACTGCGGGGAAGGGTACATGTCAACTCGGAGCAGTTTGAGAAGTTTGCAAAGGCGGAGTGGCAGCGATATTAAAAGCGACTGGTCGGTGGAAGTACTTTGTTGAGAGTGCTCCCATACCGGAGAGCGTCTCGGACCAAGCTACAAACTCCACGTGTCGCGCTCGGCACACGGGGGTGCGTGCGAGCGCCGTGAGTTATGAGGATTATCACTGCTGCCAGTGCTGCGCGTGGCTCTGTGTAGAAGCGGGCGGTGGGTTTTGTGTGTGGCTCTGTGTGTGTGTGTGGCTCTCTGTGTGTGTGTGGCTCTGTGTGTGTGGCTCTCTGTGTGTGTGTGGCTCTGTGTGTCTCGTGTGGCTCTCTGTGTGTGTGTGGCTCTGTGTGTGTGGCTCTGTGTGTGTGGCTCTGTGTGTGGCTCTGTGTGTGTGTGGTGGCTCTGTGTGTGTGTGGCTCTCTGTGTGGCTCTGTGTGTCTCTGTGTGTATGTCTCTGTGTGTGTCTCTGTGTGTGTGTGGCTGTGTGTGTGTGTATCTGTGTGTGTGTGTGGCTCTGTGTGTGTGTGGCTCTGTGTGTGTGTGGTGGCTCTGTGTGTGTGTGTGGCTCTGTGTGTGTGCGTGTCTGCAATGCGAGAGGCACAGCGAGAGAGTGCCGTGCGAGACACCGCGTGCTAGGGGATGAGGATCAATGAGTGCGCTCATTGAGTGAAGCCAAGTGCGTGAAGTTTGCTGCGGCTGAGGCATTGGGAGAGAGAAGAAGCGGTTTTATGGTGGTGGAGTTGCCGGTGTGGTTGGCTCCTCTTTTCCTCCGCCACGTCCATCATCATCATCATATTCTTCGTCGTCGTTCGCAGTGCCCACGAGGAGGGGACAGGTAAGGCACCAGTGCCACCATGAACCACATCGCAAGCTCCACGCTCACACCGCGTTCATCATTGACACAGAACATATACATTTCGTTAAAAAAAAAATCGAGTTTTGTATCTGAGCAAAGTAACTCGTTTGGGTCTGCTGGGAGGATATTGTGATAATGGTCAGCGTGATTTATACGCAGTCGCGTTGAAGTATGATGATTAAATTGATAATTCATCACCAGACTGATGATGGTTCTGATCTTCGAGCCTTGTTGCAATATAAACAACTCGTTAAATAAAAGACCCCGCTGTGCTCCGCTTCCAATTCACATCATGCCCATTCGCATCGTCTAAGTAGACCAACGTTTCGGGCAATGACTCTTTGTCAGAACAGAGAGAAAGAGAGAGAGGGGGGAAATATCGACATAGTCTGACTCGCGGTTCTGAGCTCACTATTTATTTACACTCGCGGTGCCTTTGTTGCTGCTGCCCACGTTTAGCGACGGGGTTAGGCGGTGGGGGGGATGTGTTGAGTAACAAAGGGACGTGCCGTGTTGGGGAGGGGGGGGCGGTGTGTGCTTGTTTCTGTTTTTTTTTGTCACTTTTCTGAGTGTCACAATGGGGCTATGTAAATGCGAGGGGAGCGCTGAGCTCACTGCGGAGTCCATTAAGTGGCTGACGTGAAGGGGACGTCGGTGTGGAAGCAAGAGACGGGTGAGGGGGCCCCGGGCGCCGAATCTATGGATGTCCAATGATCCATCCCCGTTCCATCATCCCCATCCGGGGCTTCACTCTGTGAAGTTGCAGAGCCACCCCGACCACAGTTGGACTGTCGTCGTCGTCGTCTCGAGCCCTGTGTCAGCCGGCCTGCCCGCCCGCCCTTGTTTGTATCCGGATGAAGAGATTTGCAGATATCGATTCCAACATTGGTGGGATGATACAACAAATAGCGTCTAAAATATAGTTGCCGGATATTATCTTGTTTCGACGTTGTGAGTACTGTGATTTTATCTTTTTTATATCACATTCTGTAAATTGATGTTGAATTGATGGCTTGTGTAATGGTTTCAATGTAATTTTTTAAAATATATAACTGATATTTTGATAAAACGAAATTGATAATGATTAAGTGTTTATCATTTCAATACTTTGCAGCATAAGTGCACATTTTGAGAGAAAATAAAACCCGACTTGAGTTGTATAATAAACTCAACACATTTGGCAATTACATTGTGGCCTTGAAAGGGAAAGTATATAATTAGCGACGTTTCGGGCAATGACCCCTCTTCATAGCACATTATCGAGAGTGGTCAAGCCGATAGAGTGGATAAGAGTTAGAGACTGCATAGTGCCGAACGGTGTGCCTGTGCACCACTGCCAATGATGTGTAAAACCATACTATAATGTTTAACATACATTGTATGTGTATAACTAACAATGCTACGATTACAGGGATATATTAAACTATCTCTTGTGTCTCCCACTTGATACGCTAGCCCAGGCTGCAATTGGGCAGCTTATTAAATTCTTGGCATCTCATTTGAAACAAGACGATGGTCGAATGTAACTCAACACAATTGACTCCACAGCCTTCATATTCTTAGGTTTTTTCGGTAAAGTCACGTAGGTAAAACATTAAATTTAATAAAAGTAAAATAAAATAAAAATCACGACGTTTCGGAGGCAACACAAGCTTCCGTCTTCAGGTGGAACCGTCACAGCCACGACAGCTGTTACTTGAAACGTCGTGATTTTTTATTTTATTTTACTTTTATTAATTTTAATTTTTTACCTACGTGACTTTACCGAAAAAACCTAAGAATATGAATCTCTGCAGTCACGAAAGCTTCAAATCTAGAATCCACAGCCTTCCTTATCCCCGAACCCTCGCCCCATCCCCGGCCGTGGACAATAAAGCCAGGACCAGATCAGACTCCGGTTCAATTGGCGGAGCCAAGTTGTGCTTGAGTCTTGTAATCACAAGCAGATGCAGGCACCCTAATCCCAGAATGCCGCCCTTGGCCACTGTTTGTCTTCGTCACTGTGTCGAGTCTCGCTCTCGGTCATCCTTGGGATGCGCTTGAGTTTATTAGTTTTTTCGCTCCACCCGTTTGCGTTTTCAGTTGACTTTGCCACCAGTTCTCTCCTGGGATCACCACCGTGCCTTCCCTCCTCTCTCTCGCCGCTCTGTATTTATTTACTTATTCAATCCTTCTCGGCCTCCTCCCCGTGTTACCCCCCCCCCCCCCCCACAAACTCTCGGGCCGCTGGAGACCCAAAGGCATGCTGCGAAGCAGAAAGCGCAACGTTAGCGCACACGTAGCGTTCACTGCAATGTTCTTTATTTAACCTGGCAGGCCCCAGGGGTTAGGGAATAGGGCCAATTTGGATTACTTTTCTCTTTTTATGAGGGTGACCTAGATATCGCGCAGACAGTATTGGGTTTTTGTTTTCGGGTAATTGTCAAAGTAGTAATTTGTGGAGTGAATCTGGCTTCAAAAAATTCTCTGAAATGTGCGAATTGTGTCACGGTCGGAAGGCGGCACATCGTGTGCCACCAACCTTGCCAGACGTCACGTTTTGGTTCCTTCTTTCTAGAAATTATAACGCCGACGGTGGGAAACAAACTGCCAGCCGCCCGCCAATTTGCCGAGTGGCGATCAAACTCAGAACTGTGTTATCCATTTTCCCTTGAGGCATCGGGCTAGGAAAACTGCTTCCCACACCTACAAACTTGGCACAAGTGTGAAGAGTGATTTGCGGTTGTTCGGGCCATTGCGATGGCGGTGCCGCGTGTGTGTGTGAAACAAGCGTCTGCCTTGTGTTGCTTTTACGATGGCAACTTCACAACTGCATTACCCTCAGATATTCATTTAACCCCCGCTTGTTTTTCAGCATTGGCAGGCAATTTTTGGAATTCTCAGCTTTAGGAACTTGCAATAAAAAATGCAGGTGTTTCTCGTGATTTACGATAAATTTGCCACATGTCTGACCGTCATTCATAAAAAAAACCCACCGTGCACCGTCATGGGGCATCGTGATGCATATAATGGATACAATTTCCTTACTTTTGTGTGGAGAGATGCAGTCATGGCTGCTTATTTCCTTATTATTTGGTAGTGGGAGACGTGGTTGTGCAGTGGTTAGCACACTGCACTGTGTTTTACTGCCAGCCACAGCAAACATCAGTCGCAGAGTAGTGAGATCTGAACTGGTCCTGGACTTCCCAACCCCTTACACCAACCCACACTGACCGCAGCAATGAAGTATGGTCACACGGCCACCGTGACCGACTTGGCGAGGGAGAGGTTTTCGGCCAGCAATTAATTGGCAAAGGACTTTAAATGAAACAAGTTATACATTTTAGTTATCACAACGAGATGTAAACGTGTAATGGTGAGCTTGGCATGCAAAGCAACTGCAAAGGGGCCTCTGCTTGAACAGTTATTGGTAACCGCAGTAATGCTTCACACATTTACGTTTGTGCCTTTGGTCTACCACTGTCCACTGGTCATGTAGATGGGCCTGCATCATAGCCGAGCCTTGGCAATTATATTTAGCATGATAGAATGATGAAATGCGTCGTAAATATTTAGGTTTTTGTTAAAGTCTGAGAAAAAGCATTGCCGTCAGGATGTTTAGCCTTTCCCTTGCGAAGCGCTGTTGGTCGGCGATAAAAAAGAACCCAAAACAAAACGTGGGAAATAAAAGAACCGGAAAGCATTGTTTCACAAGAGGTTTACTTTTACACGAGCCACTGATCAGCATCCATGCGCTCGCATTTCCTAATTTAGAAAATTTGCACCATGGTTACGAGATGATTCAGCATGGGTTCATTTTTTTGGAGGTTTGTCTTCAACATGTTTTAAATATATACGTTATCTAAAAATGTATCCCTTTGAGGAAAGATATAAGTGTTTAGTTTAGCTCATAAATAATATTTTTTGTACAAATTTCAGCAAGGTTGTGGAAGCTAAATAAATAAACGTCCATTATCCGTTCGTTCCTCGTCTTTCAGTATGGACGTATTTTGTTAGGAGGCAAACCTGCTGTCTGCAGCCGTCCATTCTCTACCCCCTCAAACCCGATAGCGTGCAGAACACTAGGGCACTTATCAGCTCTATCTGAATCCTAAAGTGTGTTCCCATGCTGCACACTGCAGTTCCTTTGCTTCTAGGGCACTCCATGAGCTATTTCCTTCAGGAAACCAGAGGTTTTAAAATATGGACATTGGTTGGCTGCTTGCAGTCATGTGATTACTCACATTCCTGAGCAGATCTTTTCGGTTTTGCTGGTTGGGTTTTCATAAGCTTTGCTTTTAGCAGGCTGCCTCCATGCTGAGTCTGCGGTCCCAACTGGCCGGCCGCTGTAGCCACGCGTTGTGCATCTCGCTGGTAACTTTGACACGCTGCGTGCACCATCAGCAAATGTTGCTACTTTTTGTGTTGGGGTTCGCGACTGAGACCGAACGTGTTCTCCGAGGGCTGTGCGCTTGCCCCTCGGCCTCCTCCTGACCTCTCGCCACAACCAGAAGAGCCGAGGCAGCTGCCGTCGCATCCCGCACGCACTGCAGCGTGACACGCGAACAACAAATTGCTGCATCCTGCACAAGGGGTGGTGGTGGTGGTGGGGGGAAAGAGAGAATTAAAGGCAGCCAAATGTTGTTTCAGCTCAGTGTAATTAAGATACTTGCACGCTGTCCCTGGGTGCAATTACAAACATGAGAAAGGCAGCATCGTCGCATCCCTCCCCCACGCTCCCAACGTGGCAGCCCCACGAGGTGATGACAGGTGTTCAGCCGCCCGGCTCGGGGGGGGGGGGGGCACGGCGAGCGCTCGTCATGCGCCGTTCCACAGAGTTCTGCGTCGCGCCGTCGTGCTCTTGAGCTTGTTGTGATATTTCGCTAGGGTGTCCCCTTGCGCGCCTGCGCACCGGATCGCCTGGAATGCGCCCCGATCTCGTCACATCTTGGAAGCTAAGCAGGTCTGATCCTGGAAAGTGCGTCGATGGGCGGCCTCCA